GGCTGAGAGTCCGGCGCCGACTCCCAACCTCCCTGGGGGTTTTTGGAGATCGACTCCCAAAAACCCACGGATTTTTCATTTTTTATCTTTTTATTTTATTTTTTCTTGGGAGGATCGACTCCCAAACCTGTTGAAGGTTTGGGAGGTCCGACTCCCGTCTCCGGGGGTGGACGGCCTGCGGACCGTCCGCAGGGGGTCTTAGCGACGTCCCAAATATTTGGGAGTCGTTTAACTAAGACCCGTATTATTTACCACAGCGTCTCTACTCAGCACAATTTTGTATTCATGTTTGTTTTATGCAAGCCTCCACCTATTTGTTTATCAGGTGGTGATCTCATCAATTTTGTATCTTATTTAATTTTAATTATATATTTGTTCTACTATCTATTTTCTTTCTTTCTAGGTTCTTAATCTTAGGCCCCGTTTGGCCACAAATCATGATTTGTGATTTGGCTAACGTTTGGCCCGGATTTGGACCGTGCGATATAAAACGATATAAAATTTTTGCACAAACTCCTGCCAAATCTTGACTCAAAATTACAAATTATGGACGGCCAAATAGGGCCTTATATTTATTATAATAATTCAACTTCGAGCTTATAACTTTGTATACTAATTATGGACATATTCTTGTTGTATCTTAGTTAATATTTTATACTAGTTGTCACAGTCAAGAGTGTCAATGCAGGTGTCACACTCTTGCTTGTTGACAGGAAGGGGTTCCTTGGTACAGGTGGGCAAACAGTCTAGAGGCAACAGATGAGGTGATTAAGTGTGTTAGAGTTGTGAGGAAGTTTTGAGATGGGTGAGTATAAACTAGAAACAATAAATTGTGTTACTAACTACCTAAATAGGTATCAAAAAGAGATTGGAAGCTGGCATCAACAAAGTATATTCTAGTGAGTTGGGAAAACATTTGTCTTGTTCTAATTGTCTGATGTCTGATGATCAATGGGGAAAAAGATCTCTTATTGTTGCTAGATTCTCTTCTTTAAATATCTAAAAGTGATGATAGGCTGCACCAAGAAAATTCAATGCTCCCTTATAGATGGCAAGTGACATCATGTAACATTGATCACTGCTCCACTGTAGCTCCAACTATACTGCAACCCAAATACAAGGGTGCCTTTGTGTGCTGAAGGGGGCTGAGGCAAGTGGATCTGGTTTGTAATGGGCAGCATGTTAGACTTGGGCTGATGTCACTCGTAATCAAGTGATCATTGATTTTTCCTGGTGGCTGGCTTATGATTAGGATACAATTGTTTGGGGTAGATGAAGAAAGAAGAACACTGTAGGTGTTCTATTCAACATCTGGGGTAGAATAAAGGTGGTAAAGCCATACCATAAGTGTGATCTCATTCTCAACATCTCTCTTTGCACAGTCTTACACAGCTGTTAACTTATCAAAAGTTAAATCATTTGATTTTTATTCAATTTACATTCTCCAGCATGCAGAAGAAGATCCCTGGAGCTGTTATTTTTCTACTTATTATCTTACAGCTACTTTGGAAATGGTTGTCCATGTCTGATTTTTTTTTGTCAAAATTTTTCTTCTTTGTCAAACTACACATAAGCTTTGACAACTCAACAAGGATTCAACTAGCTTGGAGCAAGGTCTTTCTTGGGAATCCTCCTCAAGCTAGTTGATTCCTGTTGAGTTTATGTGATTTATGCATACAAAAAAAATAAAAAAATAAAAAAATTCAGGCAAAAAAAAATCCAACTGGACAACCTTTGTCAAAATAGCTGTAATTACTCAAATCTATATATCTTCACTATGTAAGGGGTTAAATACCCAAGCCCCTGAAAAATACAATGACCAATAAATTTGATCTTGCCCTTATTGTCCAAACTTTTTACAAATTGTTCCCTTTTACCCCCAAAAGGCCAGAACTAACTGGTTCAACTCTCAATGAAATCTCACAATTAAAACCTTGATTTTCTTGTGCAACTTTCTTGGCTCATTCTTGCCAGTTGAACAGATTGTTACTTCCTGTTAAACCAAAGTTAAATTCAAAAGAATCACTACTTTCACTCTGGAGAAATCAACAAAAGTAAAATGAATCAAATGGCCTGGAGGCCAGTGGCAGGACAAGCTCATTAGAAGACAATTGTCATTCTTGTATTTTGTATCCCTTCACAGCTTCCTGGGAGCTTCGAAGGGTCCTGGTGTGCCCAGCGAGCCCGAGGAGGACATGGCTCGGACTTTGAACCTTGTTGTGAAACAGTGAGGTCATGTCCAAATATCCATTGTATCAGGGATTGTGTACTGTCAATGCCACCCAGACCTATCTTTCCTTGCATGGTTGAGACACAAGGATATTTCCTTACACGGTTGAGCCTCAAGGGTGAAGTTATCTATTGTATGTGCTGGATGCCGTCCGATCAACAGCTCCACATGAACCTGCTGGCGGCTGGCCTGCTGCTCTGAGCCTGTATTAGTTTTATTTCGTACTGAATTGTAAGCTTTCGTGACGTATCCCTGTACACAAATGCTCTGAATGCTGGCTGAAGTTTGAAGTAGAAAACGTCACTATTACTTGAGCCGGGTGGTGTCATCAAGTCTCATCATAAGTTGACTTCCCCTGTGGATCCAAGAAACACATTGTTGCGTGATTGAGAGAAGGGAAGATAGGGACATAGATTCATCGCACACTGTAGGACCCTTTCGGTTCTCATTCCTCTTGAATCTCTTTCCAGATTTCCACTCATTAGGTTATCCGATAACGAAACTGGCTCAAGGCACATTGAGTGTGCACTTTTTATCAACAACTGGCGATTCACGAATAGTTGATAGTCTTTCTTTCGAATACCCTCATTTGTTATTTATATTTCTAACGCTCCAGCAGCATGCCCAAGTCGTCACTCACTCTTTTCGGCCTGCAAATCTATTGGTTTATCGCATTATTTTTCACTATTTCAGTCGCCGGACAAAGCCAAGAAACACGAAGTGTTCGTCCTGTTGATCCTTCATATGCTCCCAGACGCCAGTTGGCACAAACCGAACCGGCCTACAACATATCCCTATACTACGCCGAGTCAGGTTACCAGGATGCAGCCCACTATGCTGCAATTATCTCTTGGTATATGCGTTATCCGACTGTTGTGGCCTCGGATCATTCTGGAATACGATCGGTAAACTGTGATACCAACGGCATCTATGTAGAATTCTCCTCGCAAACCTTCAAATTGAAAGCCGAGAAATGGGCGTTTCCCCTAATCATCGTGTTGGATGGCGACACTGGACACTGTGCTTCTGACGGACCTGGTCAGGAAAGATACCACCCCTTCTATGCGGAATCACTTATGCAGGGTCACGACGATCAGACAACAACTTTGAGTCTTTCCGGCTTCCGGTCTCGATGGGACGTAGTCGCTTACGAGCACCAAGTGCAAATTGTTGAAGTGAAAGATGGGCCATCTGAACCGGCGCAAAAATCGGCACACACACGAAGGGGAATTCAGGCCCCAACGACGATGAAAATTTCGCCTTCCTTGAACTTTGATAGCCAGGAGCAGAAGTGTTCGACCAGTGAACTTCCTATCAACGTCGCAAAGTGGCAAAACGGATCACTTGATGTGAAATGTAAAAATTGTTTCCTTGATTCAGAGTTACAACTTAGCATCTACTGGGCGAGTCGTATCCTCAATGCTGGAATTAAGTGTATCAATAAAATCATGAAAAATCTTTACCGAGCGGAGCAGCAGCTTGTTGAATTGGCTCGATCAGCGAAGCACATCGTCGTGTCCCAGTTTTCAAAGCTTAGCGAACAGTTGGCGGATACGATCTCAGGATTTTATAACCGAGTAAACGACCTTGCTTTGTCCACAGATCAGACGGAGCAATTGAAGTTGAAAGAAGAGTTGGGAAAAGCCACCTCCTCTGTTGAGGACACCAGTAGCCGATTACTTGGTCTTGCAGAAGGTCAGCTGGCAATCGGTCTCATCTCTGCTCGCATATCTCGCCGCGACGTATTTCTAGCCATCCAGCAGCTGAAGGAGATCGTAGCAAGCACCAGCAGTGAATTAGAGCTTATGATACAACGCGGAACTCAGTTGGTGATCGATGAACTAAGCTTGCCACTGTGTACGATTTCGCAAGAGAAGAACTTTCTGCGGAGCGGAGGCTTTTGTCGCAAACGGCGCAAGGAAACGTCGGCGCGATTGACTGGACGTATGAAAGTCAATTTTGATGTGGAACTCTGTCTGACTGGGGCTGGTGAACTTACGAATGGGGACGTGACTGTTCTTTCTGTTAATCTAGCAGGACTGCAAATCCCAGGTGTAAGTTTTTTGTCCCCAAGCTCTTGATGGGTGAGTGTGGCTTCTAACAAAAACACTTATTACTAATTTGTTTTACAGATATTATCTGTTGGTCCGCAAGCTCGATTAGTCAGTCACACTGGCTTGGTCTTCACAAGCTCTGCAACCCTGACACTTGGCGCCGAGGCCGAGTGGCGAAACATCGACACCACCATCGACGGTAAAAATCGGAAGCTCAGTAAATTGGACAAGAGCAATTTTGTTTTTCGTCACCACCATCCTCAGTTCGAAATCAACCCTCAAAAGATTTCGCTGGAGCAACACTTCAAACCACAAGTGACATTTGGGATCCAGCTGCTACTTGGTTCTCAGGCCTTGCTTGCGGGGATCGGAGCCGATGTCGGTTTAATCAACACTCTTCAACTACCTACACCAACTTCTAAACAAAAGAAGCCTTGTTCGGATGGCTTCAAGTATGATTTTTCCGTTACGGCGCAACTGGAAGCTATCATGAGCCTCCCATCTATTCCGGGCCTGTCACTTTTCGCACTTTTTTCATCGAAGGCTGCGGCAATTAGCCAAGGCTCATACCCTCTTCTCGTTGCACCAAACCTTACAGTAGTTGAGCATTGCTTCAAAGTACCTGCTGGATTTTGGTCTAATTTCAATCGGCAGTTAAACGCGTTAACAAAACCAAGTAATTTCCCTAAACTTTCGAGTAGAATAATATAGGGTATGAAGAAAACTTCCTTCTGTTAATCACTTTAGTCTATATTTATTCCCTATGTTTAGCTACTGGCTTAAGGCCTAATTAATAAAAGAAGATTTTCAAACAGTCGTTATTTCTTAATTTTATTCCCTCTTGCTGTTCTGTGGCAAACTACTCGCACAAAAAAAATGTTGCCAATTTCTTGATTTTCAATTCATGATTTGTGGTATAACTTGCAAAACTTTTGCATTTCTGAGTTTAGTTCAGGTTTTGACTGAAACTACGCGTTAGAGACACTCAGCCGTTGGTGAAGATATGATAAATGTGTGAGATACCACACCTGCTCTGGTGCAATCTGCACACTTGTATGTACTTACAATTTTGTCAGGAAATCATTGGACATTAATGTGTCTACATTCCTGATAAAAATGGATTGTAGCTATTTGATTCTAACCAAATTTGAAATGATTCTTAATACTTCCTTAACTATCAGTAGAAACAAGCAGAACTGGATGCTTCATCCAAATAATTTTCTGGATTGACCCCATATTTTCTTATCTTGGCTAGTATATCTAGTAATACTATGTAGTAAACAATTGCATTTCTTGAAATTCAAACACATTCCATCATATGTCCAGTGCATCTGCTTGGAAATAGATACATCAACATTTAGTGTCAAGGACTGGGGCCAGTGGTGGGGAAATAAATAAAAAAACTATTGAAAGAGAAATTTCATGTTGAATCTATCTTTTGGCTCAAGGACTGTTGTATTGCTGCACCACAGACAGTCAGAGCCGTTGCATCGAGTTTGAAAAGGATTGAAGCTTCAGGTAGAACAGCCATCTTGTCTGTGTTCAATTCATTTTGATGTCCTCTTTTCTCCCCTCAATTTCCCACACATGTGTTTATCATCACACTGAAACTTTTTCTCATTTGATCTCACCTTGTTTATTCAGCTGTGAACCACTTTTCCCTCTTCATTTTATTTCATTTTACTCTTGTATTTTCATGATCTCAGATGTTCCACTCTGCCTTCTGACTCAGTAATTCAGATGTTTCACCTGTCACCTGATCTTATCAACACTCTGGTTTCAACGCATTTGTTTCCCATCACACTATGGCTCACTTCATCTTCCCTTGGTTGTTTATAATTAGTTTTTATCCTTACTTCTCTCAGTTGTTCAGGGGGATCACCTAATGTTAGTGTTAAAAGACTGTAGTCTTCCCATTCTAATATTTGTCCATTCAAAAAGAGGCAGACTCCTTCCATGAGGAACATCTACCACTCAGATGAGATTTGATAGTGCAACTCCTAGTTCCAAGAGTGTTTTAGTGAATGAACACTTGATCTCCATCCACATGAGAAGACACCCGCAGACATTGAGCAGTGGTCATTGATACAATGAAAATCTGCAGGGATATTTTCTTCAACGAAACCAAAAAGGAAACAACATTGGAAAATTATGGAGTTAAGATTCTTGAAATGCTTTGGCAAGTCGGATAGCCTCATGGGTAACTGTAAGGAATGAAGTGTTCCAAGTAACAAACCAATTTTGGAAATAAATTTTAGATGGGAAATCAGTCAATTTTGGGAACAGATTGGGAAGGATATAGAGGTTGATAAGATAGAGAAAGTTTTGGAAATAGCTCTTGAGGTTTTGGAGTTCTTCTAAGAGAGTAGAGCTAGTATTGATTCGGTCGTATTCATCAGCGTGGCCAATTGCAAACTTCAAATTTGAAAGAGATTCATAGACGCCCCTGGTCGATCGATTGAAAGAAAACAGTTGATCCGAGCACATCTCGGTAAACAATTCAAGCTCTTCCTTATTGATTCTTTCTCGACATAATTTCTTGAAAAATGATCTTGATAGTTTAAAGATCGCCATGAACGGTGTACCGAGGTCGATGACTGGTCGGCTCAAGGGATTGATTTCTGCTTCGTAGTATCTCATCGGACCCATTTGGATTGATAGTCCTTCAAACTCTAGATCATACTGAGGTATCACTTTCTCCCAAAGATCCCAGATAAAACTCAATTCGGAGCCTTTTAGAAAACCGATGGTTCGATCGAATGCTTGGTCGCTATCAAACAACAAATACTTGATGAAATTCAGAGATGTTTCTCTTGAGAGCTTAAATTCTTCAAGGATAAAAATGAACTCGTGAAATAATTTGTTGAGGTGATTCTTCACATCTTCTCTGAAGGACTTATTGAAAGAGTAGAGCCTATAAATTTTGAGTTCTCCAAAGTGCTGGTCATTGGTCTCGTGGGGTTCGGGGATTTTTCCGGGAAAGATTCCATCAAGCACCCCTATCGTCTTGTACAAGATTTGAGCAAGATTGGTTTGAATCTCTAAGATGAATTTGAGGGTTGAGGCTGCGTCTTCTCGTAAGTGGGATGGGTCGCGCAACGCTCCTGATAGGCTGGCGCATTGTCGTTGGAGTTGGGGTAGAAGGCTTGACTCCAACCAACACAGGCCGTCTTTCTCCAAGCGCAGTTGATGGAGAGACGTAGCTGTAAGAACAGGGTCAGAGTCTGACCAAGAGAATTCGAACTTCCGTAGTTCTTGCAAGCCCCGGATGATCGAATCTTGCGAGGTTTTTCACAGCCGACTCAGTTAATACATGTTTTCGGTTTTGATGTTAACAGAAATTTGTTCTACCTGCTTGAGATATAAGCTCTGGTTTCTGCTCTAATGCGCTAGGTCTCGGTGGCTCCATTCTCGCTGGGTTGTGTCTGGTATGTAAGTATTTATGTAGTGGTAAACTTGAAGATGACTGGAGGGCTGGCCGTTCACTTGGAAGTTGAAAGAAAACCCTAGATATACTGCCCCGAACCCGTCCCACCGTGCTCCCCGGTCCACCTAGTCGAAGCACCCCGCGAGCGCGTATACTCAAAAGGGAAGGGTCAACTTGGTTTCAGCCTGTGATCCGAATCCGATCGATGATGTCATTCTCAACCACTCTGAGTCTTACTCAGCCTCGGTCCACCTCCAGCCCAGCTCCAGCCCATCCACGCCTGTTGACCGTCAAGCTTTATCCTTCCTTATCCTCCTCGGCCATCGACCCAAGCACCTCAGGCTCATCAAACCAGATCATCTCAGTCTCTTCCTCCCAATCCTCCCCTCACTCAAAGTTCCTCGTTCAACATTACCATCTGCCACGCTCATCGGTTCGCTCGCCATACAATAGCTACCTGATCGACTTGAATGGCTCGAGTGAACACGCCAACCTTGCCGGAACTATTACCGCCATTGAGCTGGCCGTTACTAATCGGGCGGCGCTTTCCCCATGCTTGGTCTTTGGAACAAACACCGGCGCTTTATATCTTACCAGATCTGGTAAGTTTAACCATGTGTTTCAGGGCTCAGGTGTTGATTCACGAGCTGATCAAAATCTTGATCATTGTTGAAATGTCTTCCGTAATGGCTCATAAAGATTTCTCGCGACCGCATTCAAAACTGAAACAACTTCACAGATCACCTGTATTAGCTCTCGCAAGTTGTCCACTTGAGATTCTGCCCACTGTCCTGATCAGTGGATCTTCGACCGAACTTCTACTCTGGGATCTTGACGATCGAAGCGCACAGCCAACCTGTTTACGTGCCTTTGGACGTCAGAATCCTAAATTTCTTTCAAATCCGTACGCCTCAATCTTGGTTGGAGTTCAGTTTCGTAGGCTTTCGAATCGAGAGGTCAACGTGCTAGCAGAGTTTGAAGATGGATTGATCTCCTGTTGGAATCTGAACGTCTTACTGCATCGCGAGTTAATTAAGCCAAACCCCAGCCTGTTTTCGGCGAAATATCAAAAATCGTTTCCATTACTCGATGCTTGCTGCGCTTCGGCTGAGGAGAATGATTTTCACGTGTTTGCTGTTGATCCCCAAGATGGCTGGGTTCAAAAGTCTCAGAACAGTCGGAAGCTGTTTCAACTTTCTAGTTCGATCTCCCACTTTGTATGTATAAGTTGTGATCACCAAAGTCAAAAGGCTAGTTTTCTGCAAGACATGCGATGTAGCGCGCACATTTCTCGCGCTTTCAAAGTTGGATCAGGTGCTGAATAAGCTACACCTTGTCTTTATTTAGATTGAACTGCTGGCCCTCTTCCAAGATACTCAACAGTTGATGAAGATCGCGATAGATGATGCTTCACATACAGAACCGCCGGGCATTACGATGGCCCAAGTAGAATCTGATTGTGTGAGCTATGCCGGCCCGGCTCAATCTGCCTAGTTAACTTTCTGACCAAAACTCAATCTCGTGAAATTACGGGTATTACGATGGAAGACATTCTTCCACTATGATCGATCCGATGGATGGCTCGTCACCTGTAAATCGACCACACAAGAGATGTCGGTTAGACAAATTGACCGATCGCTTCCGATGGCTCAATCCTATGACATTTATACACAAACTCATCTCAAACGTAGTAACAGTTCTGTCATCAGGAACCCAGGATTCTTAACACTGGAAATAATCCAAGTTGGTACTGCATTTTTTGATTCCCTTTCCTGATTTCTCAGGTACTATCACGTGGATTTATTTTGATACCAGCTATCTGTTTTCCCTAGGGAATAGGGGATTCTCAAAGCAGGGATTCAGATTTGATCAAATTGTTGCGCGCCGAATTGGATCAGCGTTTAAGATTCCCTTCTCACTTGAGGTAAGTTTGGCCCGCCCCTGACCATCTTCATAATCCAGCATCTGTCCTTTTGAGACCCACTCATCTAATGCCTCGACGTATGATGCAGATTAGCGATCTATAAACGAATGTTAATCAAATCGAAATCGCAAGAAGAGGAACTCACAACCACTTACTATCGTTATTTATCTCGCCCTTCTCCAGAAGTGTTTATGAAGAAATTTCGAGCTGCTTGGAAATTGGAAGAAGCTGAATTCCAATTTTCCCTAGAAACGTTGGTCATTAGATACTTGGTTCTCATCAATGGCGTGTTGATTGATATGAAGATCTCCACATAAACAGGTTATTATCGATTTTTCACGGGATGGAAAAATATTCAGAGTCCTCATTGGTCGACAAATTAGCACCAATCTTGTACAGCTTTTTGAAGATACTGGAAAGTGCAGAAGAAATCAACAAGTCAGATGATGGGGAAGAGTCGATAGAATTAGTCGAGATTTATAAAGTTGGTTGGTTAATGATTGATCGATTTGGGGAAGGGGCCTTTGGCGAAAAAGGTAACAGTCATAACGATCGCAAGAAAAATTATGAAGTGTTCGCTGAGAAGGTTACGCAAAGATTGCTGGACCATCGATCGTCGATTGGAAGGTCCTTGTTAGAACATCTTGGGTATCATTCTGTCTCAATCGGCGTTAGTGAATTTTTCTTTTTTATAAACAAATCATCTGGAGGCAGTTTGCTGCTTATGGAACCCCAGGTAGGAAGAGCAACTGACTAATCATTGCTTTTCTAATCCTTTACCCAGAAAGAATGTTTACCCCGTCTCACCCACGGTTTTTTGATGGGGTTCTCTTCACCAGAATCATTTGAGTTGAGTTTTAAATCCTTTTCAAAAATCACTCGGCGCAACTGCACAGTTGTTGATAGGGCTCGATAAATATATATTTACATATAGATCTTTGATGGATCATTTGGTAATCGGCCATTGTGGCCTCACTTCATTTGTCGAAGTATGCGCTAGATTGTTGGAACACTTTGGCCAAGAGATTCTTCGGTTAACAACCCAAAAAGATATACTGGTCAATCCTCTCTTCCCTTTCTTTAAACAAAATCCCCCATCCCATATCAAGCTGATTCATGAATTTCTGAATACTTTGCTTTTTTGTTGGGGGGGTTGTCATTTACAGAATTTTTTCGGTCTTACTCATCAGATCAATATCCAAACGTTTAGGAATTCATCTTAAAGAGTTGATCACCTTGCTAGCTATGATCAAGCATTCATGTATTTTTTCTTCTTCATTATATGTTTAAAGTACTGCAAGATTATTTAAGCATGGCTGGTCCTTGTGACTCGTCTTTACCAAACAGTCACACCATGTCTTGAGTTCCACTGATTACAGAACCTCTCAAAGCGACAATCTCTTCTCTGACTTCCCATGCCTTCTTCACATCAACTATCATTCAATTTCAAGGGACTGTTTCAATGAGGACCAAGACCAAGCAAAACAGGAGAATTCAAATATGTAGAAGTTCATTTGCAAAACTATTCCATCAGATCTTTGGGAGAGTTGCGTCCAATTGTTAGGCTCAAGTATGATGATCAGAGAAGAGAAAGCATCCCATTTTGATTCCTACAAAGCCCGCCACATTGATAACATACATAAATATGATTACATACATCTTAATTTCACAGGAATCGGACATGGAATGTGGGACAGATCGGTGGAGGATCAGCAATCATACTATCAGTGCCATGCATGTATGTATCATTGATAGATGCCGATTGTTTTATGAATAGAATTAAGCAGGAAGCAATGACACAGGATGTAGTTTAACAAGTTAGCTTAGACGGTCACGATGGGATGTGTAGTGTACAATAACAGTCAGTCAGAGGATGTGTTTTTATCATATAGATATGTATAGTAATACAAACTAGAAGATCTCGATTGATCAATAAACAAAACGAGATATAGAATATGATAGAAAAAAAAATACAGATAAGAGGGGGAGGTGTGTTTAATTGATTGATTTTTCAGGATGAGCAGAGAGCCAAGATCGAGTGTGAGCGGTTTTATATTTTATATATGCGTGTGTGTTGGTGGAGGAGAGCGAGAGAGAGAAAAAGTGTATAGGAGCAAGAGGAAGAGGTCGGTCAGGGGAGCTTGGAGAGAGAAGAGTTGATGAAGATCGAGGCGAACAGGAGCTGTTGGCCGGAATCGTCATGGAGAGGTAGATGGCGATAACCTGAGCAGAAAAAAAAATGAAAAAAATGTACCAGATAGACAATGATTAGAAACAAAGAGCGAAAGTCTTCCACGAGATAGACGGTCAAGTCCAAAAGTATAGATGAGGGACAAGTGAAAAAAAGAAAGAAAGGGAAGGGAAGCGAGTGGATGTGTGTGTACCTGGTTGGAGCCCGCCTAAACAGACACACACTTTGCCCACCAATCCGTCCTCTTCTTTGGCTCCATTTCCACTGCCCTGGCCGGCATCGATGACCAATAACCTCAAGAAACATAGGTCTACCATCTCGCCGGGCGTCTGGAATTGGATCTTGAATTCTTCCTGTAAAATGAAACCTTCCATCAGCATATCAATCACGGATTTTTTTTTTTTTTTTTCCTTTTCTTTTCTTTTCTTTTCTTTTTTTTTTTTTTTGGGGGGGGGGGTTAGGTTTTTTCAAGTTGTTTAGTGTGTAAATGCGGCTTACATGATACACTGGATTAAACCCGTTGCCCCTAGAAAAAACGCAAGAAAAACCCCAATGAATGAACCAAAGACAGATCATCAGTAACTCGGTAAGCAAAAAGAAACAAGAAACAAGAAACAAGAAAAGGAGAGAGAGGAAGACTGAACTTGACGACCTTAGTCCTTCGTTTAGTAGATTGCGGGGGCGAAGTGCAGGAGGAATTAGGGACGGGCGAGATGAGTTGGACTTCGACGCAGGGATCGATCCCAGCATTGTCGTCCTCGATCGTCAGCTTAGGTAATTGTTGGATCGAGATGATCTGATCCGATCCATCCAACCAAAGAACCCAACAATGATGATGATGATGAAGAAAAAAGAAGTGGGTAAGCATTTCGGTTCCTTCCATTCTCTATTCTTCCATTCAATCGGGCATCCGGAGTTTCAAAATGAGAGAGGTTTTTGGAGTGTCGATATAAGAAAAAAAGAGGAGAAAGGGTGTGAGAGGAGAGGGAGAACTGACAGTGATGTCTAACTGATACTTATGCATCTTCGTTGCCGCATCTTTCTCTTTGCCCTTGACCCTCAGCGCCAACGGTTTGAGGAGATATCCCGAGCGTCCGTTTTGATCGAAGAAGGCCGAGTTAAGTTCCATGGCGAGATCTGCCGAGGAAGAAGAAGCCCGACCAACTCAACCACCCAAGCAAAAAAACAGGAGGATAATGATAAGAAGAGAGAGAGAGAGAGAAGAGAGAAGAGATGTACCATGAGTTTGCCAGTTACAAGCGACCAATTGGAGGCCGACGGCCCAGAACCTATGGGGCAAGAAGTTCGAGCTAAAGACCCGAGTGGCGGCGGGATAGGCGCGAGTAAGATGGGAGCGGTTGTGTTGGATGAGGTCCAACATTCTGAGCGGGCCTGCTTTGAGGAACTTATTGACGGTCCGTTCGGAGAGCGACAAGATATGCTCCTTCTCGTACGTCGTCAGTTTATTGAACCCGCGCGCCTTGACGCCGACGGTATAAACGATCAGACTCGAAAGACTGTTTGTCAGTGGCGCCGTCGGGATCTTCGAAGGTGGAGGAGCTAACGAGCCCACGCTTGGTCCCGGGATCAGGGCCGCCGAGCCGGACTGCCCAGTCAACGTCGGCGACTGGTCGGTCGTCGTGGGCAGCGACCTCTCGACCGGCGGACTCGGGATCGACATCGCTGAGGCAATACGCTTGAACCGTTCGCCCAATACTGTCGATGCGTTGGAGATTCCTGCGCGGGAGAGAGAGGAAAAGTTGCTCATTAGGTCTTTTCAGGATCCCAGAAGAATAATAAAGATATGATGCAGTTCAGAGACTGACTGCGCTTCAAGTCCGAATCTGAACTCGTAGATGAGCCGGATGTTGTAGAGGTGGCCGAGCTATCGAAATTGGAATATATCTCAGTCGACCTTGGGCCATCTCCTCCTACTATTGGTTTCTTAGCCTGCAATCGACCATAGTTTTCATCGTTGAAAAAAAAAAAAGAAGATCAATAAGGGAAAGGGATTCCGTCAGTTCTACTTGCTTTGGCGATGTTGTTAGAAATAGCCAGGACCACGAAAGGATTCTTTTTTTGACGGACCTTGACCAATATGCGATACATCAAGTCTTTAGGACTAGGCAAGGACTCGGAGGAGAGATTTTCAAGAGGTCGATCGACCAAAGCTTCGCCCAGACAAGTCTTCAAAAGTTCGGCAAGACGTTCCTGTTGAGCGGGCTGACAATGGACCTCCAAGGACAAAATCAAGGGGTAGGGCGAGGCGACAAAGGCGTGCTTGGAGATCGCCTTCAATGCTTCTGATAACTGTAGCTTCCTCGTTAGGGTTCGGCCGTGATAGATCACCGGCTCCCCGGCATCTCCATCCCAGCAATCAACTTTGTCGATACACACAGAAATGATGGCTCAAGTGTTGGTCAGACCGTTTGGTTCTTCCTCCTCTGAAATTCAAGCAGTGCGACGAATGAATATATCTCACGTTCGACACTTCGACATCCGTGTTGTAAGGCGCGAATGTAGCCTTCGACGGTACTTTCTCCCTTGAGCTGATTGCCGACCAGATAAGTCTATCATTTGAGAGAAGAAAAAAAAAAGATCGGCCAAAGTTAGTTGAGGAAAATGTTGTGCAGCGAGGTGTCGAGATTTGGAGTGACTGACTGACATTGTGGGAGGTAGAGATAAAATAATCGTGGAGAGGTAGGGACATGTCTTGATGAACGGCGGTATGTTTCTCGTGAAGGGCCGCGTTATCGGCGGATTGGAGAAAGCTCGCAAAGCCTTCGATCGTCATCTGCTTTGTCGGATTAAGCTCCCGGGCTTCCCTCTCTCTATCATCATCATTATCGTCGTCCAAAAACTTGGTGTAGATCGCGTGGATCGTCGAAGGCGTCAATTCAGACTGGATGGATGGATTGAGAGGTGAAAGTTCAGCTGATCTGTCACTTGGGGACGTGTAGAGAAGATCATTGTGTGATGGATGACCTACGTGTTGGACGTTCTGCATGAATCGAGTGAACTCGTCCACGCTCATGACCGCTCTCCCGGAGGTGAATTGTTGGAAGAGAGACTCGAGATCGGGGCGTCTCTTCATGAGCTTGACGAAGTGTTGGAAGGCCGGGAAGTCGAGATAGCCGCGTTTTTGCGAGTCGGCAATCTGTAGAAAGATCCCCAAGAGAAAGAGAAAGATGTTTGTGAGGTCGATGAAGATTTCGGGGGTTTAGGTATGAGAGGAAAGAGAGCAGCTTACATCGAAATGGGCCTGGATGTCGGACTGGGGAACAGAGATGTTGAGCTTGCGACATAGGTTGACGATCTCTTGGAAGTCCAATTTGGCATCTTCAGTGCTATCGCCCTGTTGGATTGAAAAAAAGAGCAAAGATGAAGAAGAATGAGCGGGATGGGGTTTCTTTATAAGGGAAGGAGAGAAGCCAACCTGGGACCAATTCTGTTTAAGCCAATAGTCTTGTCGCTTGCGCATATGGTTCAGGCCGCCGAGCAGTTCGCGTCTGAAGGCCAGGATTCGCAGGAGGGTTTCCTTCCACAGGGCGAAAGTGTCGGGGTCGCAGGCGATGAGATGGAGCATCTTGTAGGTCGACTTCTTGGACAGATAGATGATCGTCAGCCAGCGTCCTTCGAGCTCTGGGCTCAGTTTGAATTGGGTGCGGTAGTAGGAGGCATCCTGGCCGAATCTGATCTCCCTGACGGATTCGATGTTGACTGAGGTTTTTTGATTAGTATTAGTATTAGTATGATGGGTATGTAGAAGGAATATGGTCATGAGTGACTGACGAGAGCCGCCCTTCTTGGTCTCCCAAACGATCTGGCCGCGTTCGTACTCGAGTGAGACGTTGGTCTTGATGGTCTTCTTTGCGGATACCTTGAGCATCAGCGTGCCCGCCTTGAGCTGGGCAGGCACCTGGACATGATCGATCATCGAGCGAGACATTCTTCGAAGAAATTATATGTTCTAGTCAAGACGAGCTACATAGTTCCCTTCTTCCCTCCCCTCCTCCTCCGAGTGCTCCCCCTGCTGCTGGGTTTTAAGTGAGAGTTTTTGCTGAGGAAACCCTTTGGGCGACAACTCCGACACTGGTGATCTTCCTTCGTGTTTGGATGGCTGGACTGGGATATCTTCGCAGCTGTTAGTACAAACCTAATCAACACAACATATTCAGGGCCCACAAACACAACTCATCATCCACTCACTCCATCAACATGACCATCAGACTTCCCACACAACCACCGCCAACCAGAGCACTGGTAAAATTGGATTGGACAACAAGACTGCCTTATAAATATGGATCAGAACAGCATATAAAAACTATCCAATCAACTCAATCTCATCAAATCACCCACAAACTGTGGATCATAAACCAGCATAAGTTGGCCAACAAACTACAAACAAGAGTAGGAAACAGGGGTGTGTCTGGGTCTAAAAGGGTGGTCCAAGTACCCTAGCTATTTGCTTGGACAGGGGTACCATGCATTTATAGGTCAGATAAATGAATGGAACTTGCCACTAAGCATTTTTTTTTTCAAAACAGGATACATAGCCGCCCCCTTTTTGAGCGTACAGATTCAGTAGTGTTGGTGGCCCTGTGAGTGGCTTTTTTTGATATGCTACATGATGCATGTTATGCAGTGCTATACGGGATGCTACAGTCCCAAATGGCCACTAGCCAGCTCTGCAGAACAGCAATATAGTGACTGAAGCTCTTAGTGGTAGTGTCTTACCACTAACAAGTGCTAGTGGCATGATGCTGACACTTCAGTTAGTGTAGCTGGCCCACTTTGGATGAAAAGTAAGGTTGGACAAATTTGGATGTCTACAGTGCCCCGCACGACTTCTCAACTACCCCCCTAGGGGTGTTCCAAATTTCTTGGAGAAATTTTTCAACTTTTTTTGGCAAAGCAGACAATTTTTTCTCACGTTTAAGTATTTTTCCATGGACTTTTTCTATTTTTTGCGGTTTCAATTGTTGGAAAAGACCCCACTGAATGATTTCACAAGAATTCTGAGAAAATAAGTAACAAAAACAGGCCTCTGAGTAGCATATGGAAGAAAATTTGAAATCCCCAGCAGTTTTACATACATAATCATGTGGTTCTGAGGGGCCAAAATATGTAATGTTATCTGTCAATGCATACTCAATACCCTATAAGTGCATAATACACATAATATAAGTTCATGCTACATGCATATAACTCCATAATACTGTCATTGTAGACTGTTGTTCCAATTTTTACATCCCAAAAAAGTAAAACTTTTTATTGGAGTGTCACAGAGGGTTGTGATATATATTTTCCAGTTCCACTGCTTCTGTAGAGCTCAAAAATGTATAGTACATTCTTGTAGGGTGATTTTTGTTAGTGAAGAAGACCCCCAAAGTTGAACTTTTATTTTGCAGGTGCCGGGTAGTTGAGAAGTCGTGCGGGGCACTGTACATACACTCAAGACTTTGGGATATATTATGTCTCAAATTATGCCAGAAGAGTCTCTCTTTTGAAACAACAATCCCCCTCCCCTCAAAGTGTATCTCACAGTCATACACAATTGATTTCTTCCCCCATCACTCAACTATATGAAAGGATCAAGAAACAGCCAACTACTAATTTTCAGTTTGATTGGGTAGATCTACAATTGAAAACACTTGTTGTTTTTTTACATAATTACGCCAGGAAAAAAATTAATGTTTGCTTGATGAGATGTGATGTAAGGCTAAGTTCAGCATGCTACCCACTATGTCAGCCACATTTCACAGTACATGAAATGCACCAAGTATCTGCAATAATTATATTAGGGGGTATCAAATATAACCAAATCCATCATTATTATGATCAATATTTAAATAGAATTTCACAGAAATATCATGGAAATAAATGATTTCAGTCAAATTTCTGCTTGTACAGTATGTACAGTGGGTGGACCGTTATTTTTGACTGCCTGGTTTGGACCCCAGAGCTCCAAAAAACAGACTTGAAGTTATGAGACTTGTTCAGGTGGTGCATAATAGGTCCCAGAAAATGAATATGAAAAAATTAAAACAAAAAGTAAAGTTCCAAAATTTGTGAAAAATAAAAAATAAAACTCATTTTTTTCAAAAGCTTTGGTATTCATTTTGGAGGAGTGGGACTGCTGAGAGAAAGAAAGAGGGGAACATGGGAAGAATGATTATAAATGAAAAAAATTGGAACCAAAAAAGGTTTGGCCAGGTTGGTTGTCCAGATTGGAGCCAAACAGTAAATACTAGTGCTTTACTGCAATGTGGGCTGGTGAATGCCCCAATGAACAGCTCTTTGAAGCCATCTGGAAAGCAATTTTTCCAAAATTTTCATTCATAATCATTCTTCTAATATCCCAATCTTCCTTTCTCTCAGAACTCTCACTCCCCCAAAATGAATTTCAAAGCTTTTGACAAAAACAAATTTTATTTTCTATTTTTCACAAATTTTGAAACTTTGTTTTTTGTTTTTATTTTTTCGTATTCAGTTTTTTGGGACCTATTCTGCACCAATTGACCAAGTCCCATGACTTCAATCTGGTGCTTTGAAGCTCTGGGATCCAAAACAAGCAGCCAAAAATAACAGTCCACCCACTGTACATAATCTATAACCCATGAATCATTAAAAAGTTTAACATTAACCCCCAAACCAACCACTTCCACAGGTACTGCTGTGGTGTTCTAAACCGTACAGGCCCCCTCAAGGTTGAATTTCAAATTTAAATTTTCAACTCATAAATATCCTCAAGCCTCAAGATTTCAACAATATCACCTCAAATCCCCTCTCAGTCCAACAGTTTCCTTCATTATATTATTTTACTATGTTTTTGTTTCCTTTTATTCTTTCATTTCCTCTGATTATTTTATCTTCATATTATTTTTCATTCATCTTATTTTTATTTTTATTTTATCATTTTATCATTCTTTATTATCTTTTTCAAATCACCTACTCAGTAGACAGTCTTGTTTAATTTTCTTGGTCCTAAGGCATCTTAGTATGTTGGTTTATTCCACTCTTGATTGTTGTGTTGTGTTGTGTTGTGTTTTGTGTTGTTTTGTGTTGTGTTGTGTTGTAGTGTAGTCTTGTTTTTGTTTTTTGGTTGAGTTGTGTTGTAGTTAGGGATGTGATGCCACAGAACTCAACTTCTGTTGTCTCCTCCCGGAAAACCAACCAACCCCAACGTGTTTTGTTCAGATCACAGCTCAACTGATCCGGACCCCACTTGAAGGCAGCCCTCAAAGCACCATCCCTTCAACCAACGGTGGGCCGCTACGCTACACTACGCTATTTGGCCACTACCTGTTAGCGTAGTGGCTTTTTTTTCTTCTAGAAATCCTGTAGTGTTAGTTCACGCTACACACCGCTGAGCTAACTGCCAGCGTAGCGTGAAATTTTTCCCTCAATTTTTTTTAGTGTTAGCTTAAAATAATTACCGCTAAACTAACCTGTAGTGTAACTTTTTCCAAGCTAACAAAATTTCCGCTAACCAACAGCATAACTGTTGGTGCAGCTAACATGTAGCGTAACTAATCCCCAAATACGCTACACTACAGCAGCAGTTACGCTACCTTTGTAGCGTAACTGCTGCTGTAGTGTAGCGTAACTGTCAAGATACAGACCCCTGCACGGTAACCAATGCCACCAATAGACTACTCAAGCAAGTCTTTGATCGTAAGTTTGATCTTCTTCCTTTTTGGACTAAACCAGGCTGGGCCTCGGCTCCTGACCTGTGAAGTTACAACTTAGACTAATCCACAAAATTGCACCCTGAATACCGATGTCACAGACATCGAGGCACAGGAAGAAATACAAGTCGACCCTAACCAGGCGCAGGATACCGTACACACCTCCTTGATGGAGGTGTGAACACGATGAACTGGCCCAGGCATACCCGTGAGTCACACGGATGAAATCAAAGCTCATGAGAAGCTATAAGTTAACCCCCTTGCTTCATCCTGTCTTTGTCCCCATCCGCGACTCCTCGATTAGAAATCCATTCGCAGATCAAACTTCCTCATACCTCAATCATACCCAAAGCCCAAAACACTTTTCCCTTCTTCTTATCACAATGAACTCGCGACGACCTTGTTCCGCGCTTTTATCTTCTCACCCCTTCTTACTCTCTCTCCACATCGCTATAAGCGGTTTTCTTGTCAAAACTTTGCATCTTTATCTTCTCTTGTCGCACTTACGACTCTATCACTTCTTTTGTTCCTATATTCTTTTGAGCGACCTTTTTCGTGTCTACCTCTCTGTCTTCCTTTTTCATACTCTGTCTGCCTACCCCTGCCCTTTAGGTAAGGCAGCCCATTCTTGTTTTTCTTGTCTCATCGTCCTACTATGATCCTGACTTGAAATATTACTTTAGTTTTGCTATTCTAACAGTAACTGCCTCACAAGTGAGTGTTCATGTGGGAATTGAACCCGTGGCACAAAAGTGTAGCGCTGGCATGTGGTCTGGCAGGACTATCTAAGATTCTCCCTGACCACATGACTAACGCTACCCTGATTGAAATCTTTCATGACGGGTCTAGTTCTGGATCAGCCCCCATTTTTATTGTGATTTTTTTTTTGGTAGGGGGGGGGGGCTCCCAATTTAAGCCACCCTCCCTTGACCATTTTTTTCACCTTGCTGCCATGTGATCATTCCCCTCCATCTTTGACTTCTCCTTCTTACTCCCATCCAGAAAATTTTTATCGCCCCTCACTTGACTCCCTCATTCTCATAGACTTGTTTGAACGAGAGGCCAACAGGTTCTGGCCTTTTAAGCCGGGTGTTATTGGCTCCCACCCTTAACAAATACAGGCTCCCCCCCCCCCCTAGGATTTTCTTCTAAATCAAAAGCTACCTGGATCGTTTTCTTCAAACGATCGGCCGCTACCCCCCCCTTCGTTCGCTGGACCACCACCCCTAGATATTTGAGCCCCCCCCCTCGTATTTCGTGAAAACGTAAGCTACCCTTGCTCGTTACCCTTCATCCTACTGCCCCGCTACCCTCCCCTTTTCATCGATCCAGCTACCCCCCCTCGCCCTTAATCGTTTCCTCAAACGATCGGCCGCTACCCCCCCTCGTTCGCTTGACCACCACCGCTAGCTACCCTACATTGTTTGAGCCCCCCCCCCTCGTATTTTGTGAACTCGTAAGCTACCCTTCATCCTACTACCCCCGC